AACCAAATACTAACAACACAACCAAATACTCACAACACAACCAAATACTCAACACAGCCAGATGAACATTGATCTTTGTGCGCTGAGTTTAAAGAACAGTTTTATTAAGTTCCTCTCTCAGGACGTTTTTAGTTCTATCGACCATGTAAGTGCTTTTCATCACAAACGCTTGTCTGTCACTCAACATTCACACACTGAAGCAATTTGGGTTCAGTGTGGCCATGCAGACCTAAGGAGCTGGGAATCGAACCACCGGCGTCATGGTTAGTGGACAACCTACTCGAATTATTTAAAAAAAGTAATGACTTTATCTGATTTTTGAGCTCAGCAGTCTCGTACTTCTGTTTTTACAACTTCCATTTCTTTTGTGTTTTTTGCACAGTTTGTATTTTCTATAAATCTAATTTTTCTAATAAAAGAATACAGATAAGATTCTGCTGTTGTGTCTTCAGATCCGTATCTGGGCTCGCAGGGCGGCCATTGATCAGGGACAAGGACACTACGCCCTCAACGTGACTGGACCTGTGCTGGACTTCCTCCAGTCGTACTATAACATCTCTTACCCGCTGAGCAAGTCAGGTCCGTCCGCTCTCATCACTTGTTATCGTCCGTCATCATCGGAGTCCTGAGGAGCTCAGGTTCTTCTCTGTGACGTCACACTGTGGAAAATAAACTTTAACGAGACACCGGGAGTTTTTTTATTTTATGAAAAGGTGTTTTTTTTCAGTCTTGACGTCTCGGTGCGGCCTCACGCTGCTGCTGCTGCTGCTGGGTTTCGTACGGAGGTCAGGAGAGTCGCCAGCTTCCTTCCACGTCAGCTCATTGAATCTTCTCTCTGCCTCTCAGATCAAATCGCTCTTCCAGACTTTTACTTTGGCGCGATGGAGAACTGGGGTTTGGTGACGTACAGAGAAACCAATCTCCTCTACGACCGCCTGACCTCGTCCGTCAGGAACAAGGAGACCACGGCCACCATCATCGCTCACGAACTGGCGCACATGGTGAACTCTCCTCTCTTGTTGTGTTGTTGGTGTTGTTTGACGGACTCAGTGATCAGTGGCCTCTCTGCTGCAGTGGTTTGGAAACCTGGTGACGCTGCGCTGGTGGAACGAGGTCTGGCTGAACGAGGGCTTCGCCTCCTACGTGTCTTACCTGGGAGCCGATCACGCTGAGCCTGCGTGGAACCTGGTCAGAACACGCGGTCCGAACTGAACCTCACTTTAATGACTCACAACGTGAAATGAATCTTGACACGTTTCTGTCTCTGCTCCAGAAAGACTTGATTGTGCTCGACGACGTCCACAGAGTGTTTGCGGTCGATGCGTTGACCTCGTCTCATCCTCTGTCCTCTGAAGAAGACAGCATCATCCTTCCAGACCAGATCAGTGAACAGTTTGACGTCATCTCGTACAGCAAAGTAAACTATGTTAAGTTGTATATATGTCATGTACTGGAAGACGTCCCTTGGGTGTTTTATTATTTCCATTCGATCTCCTCAGGGTGCAGCCGTGCTTCGGATGTTGTCTGATTTTCTCTCCGAGTCGATCTTTGTCCAGGGACTCAGTGTACGTGTTTCTTTTATCAGCATCATCAAGTACCACGTTCAGTACTCGTAGGCGTGTGTGGAACAGAAACAGGTCGATGAAGGAGTTTAACTTTGCTTGTGTCACTGTCTCTCCCTCCTTGTGTCTCCAGCGATACCTCAATCACTTTGCCTATGGTAACACAGTAGGAAATGACTTGTGGCAACAATTACAGCTGGTAAGATGGAAGATTTCTTTTTTTTAAAAACAGCAGTATTTGTTTTTCTGCAGTAGTACGAAGTTTTGTTGAAACCTTGAAGTTGGACACGGGTTTAACATGTGTACCAAAGGTTTTCGGTTGAATTGTAGCGTGACGTCATGAAGAGGACATCTCGGACAAACGTGAATCAGTCGTCTGGTCACATGCCAACATTTACTCTTACAAACAAGTTACCGAAGGGCAATGAATCCTGGGATAGGTTGGGCCGGGAGGGATCGGCGTGTCGGAGCCTACGTCTCTCAGAGTGGGCCTCTGAAGGATGCAGCCTTTGAGTTCAGACTAAGTTTTTCTCAACAGGCGGTGGAAGACAATAACGTGTCACTTCCTGGTCCAGTTTGGGACATTATGAACCGCTGGGTGCTCCAGATGGGCTTCCCTGTGGTTACCATAGATACCACCACAGGAACGGTATCCCAGAAGCACTTTCTGCTGGATCCAGGGTCAAAGGTCACAGTTGAATCACCTTACAGGTGCGCAACACGTTTCATGATCTCTGCAGGGATTAGACTCCTCCAAAGGATCAATCCTTACTCATAGTTTATATTTTATGTTTATCCGTCTCATCGTCCTCTTCCCTCGATGTAAACTTTATTTCCCGCCTCCCTCAGGTACGAGTGGACGGTTCCTGTTCGCTGGATGAAGTCCGCTGAAGTCCAGAGGGACGTGTGGTGGCTAGTAGAGAAGGAAGGTGTGAGATATTTAACACTCAAGAAAAAAAGAAAACTTAGATGAGTAATTGCGAAGCTAAAACTTTCAGACTTGTTTTTTTTTCTTCTGTCAGCTGTGAACCTGGACATGAAATCTGGAGGTTTGTGGATTCTGGCAAATGTCAATGTCACCGGATTTTACCGAGTCAACTATGACCCGGGGAACTGGGAGAGGCTCCTCGCTCAGCTGGACTCGGAGCACCAGGTACTGTGTCACATGTTGCATCCTCGGACAGAGACGAATAAAAACAGGGCGTCAAACACAGATACAGACACAACCTCTTGAAACATACATAGTTCTAAAGATTCTACATCAGTTGCTTGTATTTGAAATCCTGAGTGACTGAGCTGAATCTGTTGTTCAGGTTATACCGGTGATAAACAGAGCCCAGCTGGTGGACGATGCCTTCAACCTGGCCAGGTACGTCAGTTCAGTTTCAGGGTTTTACATCATTTTCACGCCTGGTTTTCTTCAGTAGCGTCTAAATTTGTTTTGTATCTGAAGCACGAGACGACCTCTTGTCTCTGCAGGGCTCAGTTAGTCTCCACCTCTCTGGCTCTGAGGACGACCTCCTACCTGCTGCTGGAGACTGAGTACATGCCCTGGCAGTCCGCTCTGAATAATCTGCAATATTACGACCTCATGCTGGACCGTACCGACGCCTATCAGCCTATGCAGGTGCAATGCATCATATGTCACCTGTATGTTTCAGAGTTTTAGTACTGTAGTACCGTTCCGTAGTACGTCAGCGCAAATAGATGAATGGACACAAGCATAGTTTGTCGGTGAATCTGTGTTTCAACCAGAGGAACATTCACGGTTGTGAATTTACTGGATCGCTTAGTAACGTACCATCCGTGTTCTTTGTGAGACTCAATCATTACGGGGAATCAGCAGAAACTCGTAAAGTCTGTTTCCGAACTTAATGTTGAACATTTTGGTCTTTTTGAAAATGTTCGTTGCGACTGTTACAGTTTAAATCTCCTCCATATTTATAGCTGTCGCACAAACACATGTCTGTTGATTTACACGACATCATCGTTGTTGTATAGTTTTCTACATTACTGCCACCTGCTGGACTGTGGAGGAGCAGCTCAGTTTTTAATACGTTAGCAGGATAATTTACTTTTCTCAGGCCTTTAGATCTCGCAGCTTTAGTTTGAGTCTTCAGATAAACCAGCGTCCTTCACTCACCTCTCTGTAAAACCTCCAGAACTACATGAAGAAGCTGGTGACTCCGCTCTTCCTGCACTTTAAGAACACAACCTCAAACTGGACCCGTGTTCCTGACGGACTCACTGACCAGTGAGTAAACTCAGTAAAACAGGATAAAGATGCTTCTGAGTTATTGTTCCGCCTCCTGATCAGGATCCGTGTCTAGATAGCAACTGTTAGCATAAGAATTATACCTCAAGTGTGTTATCTCTGTCACTAGGGGGCATAGTTTTACCACATATGACCAACACTTGACAGCTTTGTTTCGTTGATAGAATACATCTTATGTACTCAACATGTTTTAACAAGTTTGTCTCCCCCTGCAGGTACAACCAGGTTAATGCCATCTCTATGGCGTGCAGGACAGGAGTGACAGAATGTCAGAACTTGACCACGGCGTGGTTCAAACAGTGGATGGAAAACCCCAGAGACAATCCGTTGGTCTAATTTAAATGTTTATACACTCGTTTTCAAGTTCATATTTTTAATTCATGGATCTAAGAAATCGATTACTTGCTTTAATTCCCTTATAACTCATTGTTTTTCTAATTTGTTAATTTGTTGAAATGCATCATTCACTTCTCTGAACTTCAGTAAAATCACTGACCGACACTGACGCACGACAAAGATCCAGATCAATGTGCACGTTGTATTGTCAGTGTTTTAACTGCAGCTCTCTCGTCAGGATCGATCCGAACCTGCGTACGACCGTGTACTGCAGCGCTGTGGCGGCCGGCGATGAGGCCGAGTGGGAGTTTGGCTGGTCGCAGTTCAAGAACGCAACAGTAGCCAGCGAGGCGAGCAAACTCATGTCTGCGCTCGCCTGCACCAACAACAGGCAGCTGCTGCAGAGGTGCGTATCCTTCCACCCTGAAGAGGAGGCTAACGTAGAGATTTAACGAAGAGTCTTTTACAGGAGCCTGTTGAAAATCTGAAGTTTGTGTGTGACTAAGAAAGAAGCAGAAGGTTTCTGAAACTGTTTACAACTGAAACCCTGAACCCTGAAAAGTGGCCGCGTTGTGTTGGATGTTAAACTTGGTTCCGTTCACAGGTATCTGTCTCACACCTTGAATCCAACTATGATCCGAAAGCAGGACGCCACCTCCGTCATCACGTCTGTCGCCGGCAACAGAGAGGGACAGAGTCTGGCCTGGGACTTTGTCAGGGATCAGTGGGAGTACATGTTCACACAGTGAGTACGATTGTTGATTATTTTCAGACATGGAAGACGTACAGGGTGCGATGGACGACAACCGACGCCACGTCTGAGACGCCACTTAACGACGTCCTAACAGATAGAGATAGAATGTTAAGTACAATTCTTTTAAACTTCGCCTCAGTGACATTGACCGATAGGAAAACAGATGATCGCTCTGCCTGAAGAGGTGAAGAAAGAAATGAAAGAGAAAGAGGAATGACTGTTTGTTGTGTGTGATATCTGCGTTCTCTGTGATGACCAGCTGTTTTTTTCCAGATATGGCGTCGGCTCTTTCTCCTTCGCCTCCATGATCAGCGGCGTCACAGCGAGGTTCTCCACAGCCGCTGAACTTCAACAGGTTTGCAGTCGTTAGTGAATCTCACTTAACGCGTGAACGTCCGACTGTGGTCTGAACTGTTTTCCCATGTTTCCCTCTGCCAGCTGGAGGAGTTCGTGGAGCAGAACGGCGCAGCCGGGTTCGGTTCTGCGGCGCTGGCGGTGGAACAGGCCGTGGAGAGAACCAGAGCCAACATCAAGTGGCTTCAGCTGAACGAACAGGAGATTCTGGACTGGTTCAACAGCCAGAGCTGACGCTCGTCTCACATATAACACGTGCTCACGTTTAAAAGACAAATCAAGACAGAAACATGTTGATACCGATGAAATGAAACAAAAATCCAGTCCGGCAGCGAAACGTCTGCGTTTGTATTGTAACTTTAAATAAACCTGAAATAAGTAATTATTACACCAGCATGATTTTTATGTTACGTGTTTTATGCCTCTGTTCGTGGGTTGTCTGTCCCGTTCTTGCGAACTAAATAATAAACTTTAAATTCAAATTTTGTGTCGTGACTTCACAAAAAATAATTGTTGCCTTGTGAACACAAAATGTGAATAACACCTTGTGAGGATTTCTTCAATTTAAGTGCAAACGTTCACTTGGACTCAAGGATAGACTGGTTCATTTTTAGCGGTCGAAAGTTAAAATTCAAGCCCACAGCGTCATCGTAAACACACGTTTCGCTTGTGATCGCAATATCTACAAAATCACTCAAGTGACGTTCTGTTCTGAATTTTGTAGAAATTTTAATTTTGTCTCGGTGGTCAAAGATCAACGTCACTGTGAACACGATATCTCAGAAACATCTCGATTGAATTGCCTCAGATTTGTTAAAAATGTTCACTTGAACACAAAGATGAACTGATTATACGCTGGAGTCTAAGGTCGAGGTGATTCCAGTCCATTTTCTCATTTACTTCTGTCGTAGCAGATTCTGGAGAACCCACTACTCTTGTGGTTTTGAATGAAAACCATCAGAACGTCGTAACAAGCCACCCACTTTTTATTGGTCAGATTTGTCACAGCCACAGATGCACACAGCGACAGACAGAGATGAATCAAACAAAAACTTCTTCTTACACGGGAGAGAAACTTTTAGTTTTCTCCACTCACGGAAAGAAAAACAGTGAGTTGAAGAACAAAACATTCAAACCAAGAACAAGAACACGTCTCATCGTCTTCACAGAAACGTCGGACACAGACGACAGAGTGAAAATAAAGACACGTTATTCAGAAGCCGTTTCCAACACTGTACATCACACAAAGAAAAACATTAATATCAACACGAGACTTCTTTAACGGTTCGTAAGGTTTTCGTTTTGCATGAAACTCGGGAAAAGTTGATTCTTTCATAAGACCGAAACGTTTTCTCTTCGGTCTAGTTTACCTTTTGGAAATAAGACTTTTGCTCATTTTGCTAAATAGCGAATTCGATTCATAAAGTGTAAGTGAAGCCGGGTGAGGACGCACTTTCCCCCGCACCGTGATCGCACTCATGCACACGAGACAAAATGTTGAGCTTCAATACACAAAGACGTGGTTGTTTCACATTATGAGTAAAACCACTGCAGCGTTCACCGACGTTAATTCTCTGCATTAGTTTGATTAGATGTTAAAAACTGCGGTGAATGGCTGACGGTAGAGAAATCATGCGCCATCTATTGAAAGCTATTGGAATTACACATGTAGTTAGTACTTCAAGTTGATTTTGTTGTTGCCTGTTTTAAAAAAAAAAAAAAAAGTTTCCCCAGAAATAAGATGCAGCAAATTGAAGTTCAGACAGTAATTTAAGAAATGTGACATCGGAGTGAATTTTCAGTTGCGGACTCTAATTACCTTCATGCTAAGTTTCCCGAAGTTGTTCGTCTTTCTTTTTGTGAGATTACACAAAAACTACTTGACGGTTTACCAAGATTTTTTTTTTTTTTTAAACATTTTGACTATTTTCCTGGAAAATAATTTGTGGATCTCGACAGAATAACAATCAGGGAAATGAGGAGTCTAATATCTATGATCTGATGCAGCTTGATTGAATCAGAGGGGACTGTTCGGCTGGTGGAGGTATGAGCTCTACTCTAATGACATTATTGAATTATGGGCGATGCAGCGCTGAGGACTACTCGGTTCAGCGAGTGGCGGCGAACACTGATGAGATTCCATTTCCTCTAGAACGCAGGACAAACACTGAGAGTGGAGCCGAAGCTGCCGAGAACAAAAAACGTGTTTTCAAGTATGAGCGACACAAAGCGGAGGAAAAATGTAACTTCAGCGATTTCACGATGTCGTCACACGTGGATAAAAAAAACACGTAGAGTTCGATGATGTGATTTAGTAGAACGGAGTGTTAGGGCCATGTCGGAGGAAAGGAATTCTGAGGATAAAGTCGTACTTGAGATATTACAGCTTCGTTCTTGTAACATTACAAATGTATTGTTAAATATTATATACATATTTATTTTTCTCCTAATACTTTATTCTCATGAAACTATGACTTTACACTTGTAAAATTATTTTATTTTCTAGTAATATTACAACTTTATTTTTGTAAAAATAAATTCTTGTAATATTTTGACTTTATTCTCATTAAGTTACGTGTTATTGTCACACAACTTTATTTTCATAAAATTACGACTTTGTTCTTGTCAAAAAACAATTTTTCAACATGGCCCTAATACTTAAGTTTGATCCAGTGTATCAGCTTCACTTTCTAACACTGAAACATGAAGAACTAAACTTCTAAACTCAAAGCGGATCATCGCCCTCCTCTGCAGAGCTCGTAAAAACAAAATGGTGCACATGAAAATAAAGACAGAAATAGTTTTTTTCATTTTTTACATCTAACAGGCGTGAGCCTTTCTTCGAAATGCAGAATGAAAAACAGCTTGCGAAGTCGAGCGCTCAAATTTCCCAGCGACCTCACTGCAGGATTTTCTCCCGCGTGTCGGGCAGCTTTAGCGCCATCAGGCCGCCGCACACCAGCGCAGCGAAGGACAGGAGGATGGGGACGGCCGTGGTGACGCCCACGAAGCTGGCGAAGATGGAGCTGCCGAGGACCGCGGCCAGTTTGCACAGAGCGTTCAGCACGCCGAACGCCGTGGCCCTGCGAGACAGAGAGGTCGAGATCAGAGACTGGAACTGGTGGTGACTTTAAATGAACGCGACAGATTCAACTGACGCCTCTAACTTCAAAACAGTTTGTACCCGTGTCAACATGGTGGAACTGTAACCTGAGCTCACGAGCGTAACTGGAACTGAGAACAGGAGCTGTCTCTCTGTCACGTTTGGCTTCGGCCTGTTTGTTTGACCTGTGGTGAAGCTGAGACTGCTGCAGCAGTGAACGCACCTTTTAGAGGCCGGGTAGAGCTCCACCGTCACCACCTCGATGCCGTTCCACGCCGCTGCGCTGACGCCACAGAACAGACACTGCAGGGCGATGATGGCCGCCTGGCTGAAGCTCAGAAACAGGAAGAAGGTGCAGCCGGCCGAAATCAGCATGGAGCCACCTGTGGAGAAAACACGAGGGATCTTTATTATTTTCCATTACTGAATCGGTCGACCAATCCCCGTCATCAGTGCGATCACCTATAATCTTCACTCGGCCGATCTTCTCCATGAAGAGCGCCGAGATGATGTTGCCCGGCAACATGGCCAGGCTGCCCAGGAAGCTGACCAGGTAGATGAGCACGTCGTTCTCCGCGCCGTTGTCCAGGTGGCAGCCATGTTTGTTGTGCTCAAAAGTGGAGTTCTCCATCCTGCAGTTGATGAACTTCTCCTCCCACAGATCTACAGAGGAACAGGACGACTGTGAGAGACGGTGGACTTTTCTGCTTCGTCTCGTCTCTTACTTAGAGGAGACACATGAGGTGTCTTCCGTGTTTTATTGTCTCTCGGACTCATCGACCAGCTGCTCATGTCCCACAGTCGAGGATGAGGGGAAAAGGCCATTCACAGCCTGTTCTCTGTCCATAACTAAAGAGGAGCTCTGGTACATTTCAACCTGGGCCTTGTTTTTATAAATGTGACTGTGTAATAAATCTTATTTTTCAGTTGAGATGTAATGTTCACCGATAAAGATTGTTATTCTGGTTCTTCGCTGAGGTGCAGCAGCTCGTTCCTCTGCTTGTCTCCTCTCTCGCCCTTCAAAGTTAATAGTGTCTCGACCCGCATGTTTCCTCAGACTTCTTTATTTTATTTTATTCTTTCCCTGGTTGTTTTAAACGCAGTTCATTAATAAACTTAACTTGACTGAATCACCGAAGCGAACGATTGTAACTCAGATACGAGTGCTCGAGGACAGAGTGATCACATGTGACGTGTGTGTGACGTCACGGTCGCTGATTAAAACAATCCCAGACATTGTTTTAATTTCAGTAAATGGAACTTTAGTTGAGAATTGGTCTGGAAACTATCAAAGGGAACCAATTCCTGTGATGTGAGATTATGGAGATACACGATATCTGCATAATCTGAACATAGTGAAGAGAACTCGATGATGGATTTTCTCTTTGACTCCATTGTACAGACAAATGAGACATAGTGGACGTTTCTGGACCATGTGACCCCCCCTCAGAGGACGGATGGTTTTTTCTCGAAACATTTAACCTCTGACCTGCGTTCACTCTGATTTTTCCTGCACCGGAGCCGCGGTTCCTCCGAACCTGCTCCGGCTGAACCCACCTGTGTTGGTGAAGAGCGTGGAGCGGATGGTGCAGTTCTCAAACACTGTGTCTGTGGACCTGATGTCCTCAAAGTGACAGTCTTCAAACAGTGAGTCCTCAAACTTCACTGACTTCATCACTATACTGATGAACCTATGGGGATGGGATGGGACACACACACACACACACACACACACGCAAACACACACACACACACACACAAAGAAAACATGGACTCACTTCTATCGCTGTGGTGTCTCAGAATCAGAAATTCTTAGATTCTGCAGAAAGCATAGAAGTTCAATGATATGCAGTTCTTTAAGAAACTGAATATCTTCAGCGGAAGTGAAGCGTCCTGGAAGGTTCACACCTTCGCTCTGTTACTATAGCAACCACAGGTCCCCTCATGTCCTCCCAGCGCAACGATACGACGACAGCGTAGATGTGGAGCAGAAACTGCGACGAAGCGGCGCCGGGCGATAAAACGATGAAGAGAAACGTGGCGTCAATATAAACGTTAAATAATCTGATCATGTCTGATCAAAAAGCTGAGAGAAGAAAACACATGTGGGATCACAATCTTCATATCCGTGTTTACAAGTTAGGATTTTGTCGTCCTGGTTGTCGATGCGGTGAATTCTTTGTTATTCTGTACACGTGACATTTACCCTGATCCCTCCTGAGTTTCTCTTACTGTGATTTCATCCTTTTTTTTCTATGATGAAACTTTTATTCTGGGAGTTTTTTCACTCTACTCCTAAATCAGCGCTGTTTGTGTGCAGGGACACACACACAGCGCTGAGCTGAGAGGATCTTATGGGACCTGGAGGCGCTGAAACAAAATCAGTCTTCACCAGCTTCACCCACATGGACAGAAACCCCCCCCCCCCCCGACATACACATGTATACAAAATTAAAACCAGTATCCAGAGATACTGTAAGTCTGTAAACATCTCAAGGTTTGCGCCCCTCAATGTTACTGAGTGAGTTTCTCTGTTCTGATCTCGTGCTGCGAGCTGATGACCTGTAGAAATGATGAGTTCCAGGTCATAATTTCTACGAGCACAAAAAAAAAACACGGCATGAAAGTTTCTGATAACAACAGACCTGAGGATGGAATGACTGATAACTGTGAGTTCACGGGGCCGAGGGGCAGATGTCATCTGAGTTATTTTAATGTTGAAACCTGAGCTAATGTTAACAAACGGCGATATCGTGTTTAAACCTACGGATGTTACGTCTCAACCCGAAGATCAAGATTCAACAGCTTCACTGAAATCAGAATAAATTCAACAAGTAAGAGAAAAATACCAGGAAAGTGATCGTACAATTTAATTTCTGCCGAGTTCCACACTAATTTAAAACTCAGACAATAATTGACTTCTTATTCTGAAGAGCATGAAGAACGCTGTTCCCAGTTTTATCTGAAATAATTATTTTATCTCTCTGTTTGAAAAGTGAGACTCACTTGTCGTTGATGTATTCTCCTTCTGTATGGATCTGGTTTTCCAAAGTCAAGTTGTGAAAGTTAAAGTTCTTGACTCTTTCTCTGTGCACCACCTGAGAAAAGAGACAAAACGACATGAATCACTTTTCTGCTATAGATGTAAGAAAATCTGAGTATATATGTAGTATATAATATATATTTACAAGGTTTCTTATGAGCCCTTATACGTGATTTTCAGAATACTACAGAATCCACTAGTTCCTGAACTTTCAACAACTTTAACAAAACAAATAATGGGTTTAAATCTAATCCCTTAAAATAAGAATCTCTTCACCGAAGCAGATTGAAGCACAGTCACTCTGAGTTCACGTGAATTGTCGTTGACCGTACCTTGATCTTGGACTTGTATTCCTCGTACTGAAGGTGTTTGATCATGTCAGGGAACCACACGGACAGACCATAGTAACTGTGATGGACAGGGAACAGAATCAATTCAACGAAACCAAACAAACTGCAGCTGCGTGAGCAGATCAGGGATCTGCAGATGTTCGAGGAGCCTCCTCTGAAGCTGTGAACGAACCTGAAGGCCATGCAGAACCAGATGACGGCCATGAAGAGCGTAGCTAACCTCAGCTCTGCCGACATGAGAGACGCCACGTTCTTCAGCACCTGCAACCAAAATAAATGTTTTTACATTTGAGTGAAGCACTTTGTCATTTTGAGAAGTCCTTTTTATAAGTGAGGATATTATCATTAATATTATTATAATGTTTAGAAAATGTTTATATCTCCAACCACTGTGATGCTGATGATTCGCTGCTGTATGTTTCCTTTAAGCCTGATTTGGCTTTGGTTCTATTTTAAACCACAGTCTCAACCACTGAGCGTGAGCACACACCAGTTTGCAGAGCGTTAGCGAGCGCACTGCCCATCGCTGCACAGGCGTTCCTGTCGCGCTCTGAATCTCGATAAACTCATCCTCTGCTGTTTTAGGAGCCTTGATGTGAGTCACCTGAAACGATAGAGGACGAGGACAATAATAAAAATAAAACCAAACTCTCCTCACATGAGATTCAGCTCCAGCACTGAACTCTCAGTCGGAAGCTTCTACATATTGACTCACAGATGAGAAATTACACAGTCTGAGTGAATATTCCATCATATTTCATCTTCACAGAGTTTGTAGGAAGAAGAGTATTTAAAGTTAAACACTTCATTTCACATGTTTCTCTTCTATTGCGTTACATCCTCACATACTCACAGTAAAGACTTTCTCCGGTTGTCCCTTGGCTCTCCAGTTGGTGTCGTGAACTCGCTTCAGGATCATCCACGCCTCGTCGTGTTTGGCGTTCTGCTCAACACAAACACACTCATGAGCTTTTCTTCATCTGTTCTTTATCACTGAGGTCAGTGAAGTGAAGTCTAAATTTAACATATTAACCGTCTCACCTCCAGGAGGAAGCGAGGGCTCTCCGGCATGAAGGTGAGTCCGACCAGAGAGGTGATGGCAGGGAGAGCTGCGACCAGGATGAAGACCCTCCAGCTGTGGAACTGGAACTCTGTGCCCATACTGAAGCCCCAGCCTGTACACACACACACACACACAGACACACGGGTGAGAACAGCACTCTGGGTAAAAGTTCTGCAGGTTTGAATCCCTGTCTCTTTGCACCTTGTTGTGCCGACATGCTTTTTTACGTTTTCCGTCACAAATGCCGACTCAGATCCGAATCCTGAGAGCGCTGAGGCTCAATCCCTGCTCGAAGTTCTGTCTGATTAACAACTGAGCACAATGTGGACGTTCCAATTACCCAGTTTCCTCACAGACGGCGTTAGAGAACGGCTGTTCAGCGTTTTAACAGGTAGTTAGCGTGTTTGAGTTCTCACCATATCTGGGGATGATGCCCCAGGCCGTGAAGGATGCGTAGATCCCACCAATCATCCAGAACATGCACAGCCAGGACAGATGCTCTCCTCTCTTGTCCATTTGAAGAAACTCGGAGAAGTACGTGTACACGATGGGTATTGTTCCACCGATACTGAGAGGAGAGAAAGTTGTACCAAATACCACAAAGTAAGCTTTTAGCGTTTTTTGGAAATGTGAGCTAATGATTATAGTTGATGTGGTTGAAAGTGCTGGAGGCAGCTTGATGATCCAGAGCAGTTTGAGCTCAGATGAAGGACGAGTGTGTGTTTGTGATCGTTACCCGACGCCAGACAGCAGCCTGAAGAACAGGAAGAGGCCGTAGCCTTGGGCGAAGGAAGACAGGAAGGCGAAGACGCAGTTTATCGCCAACGCCACAAGCAGACAGCGCCGGCGGCCGACTTTGTCTGCCAGGCCGCCCCACAGGAACGCCCCCACCATCATGCTCACAAAGACGGTCAGACCTGCACAGACAGATAAATAAAGATAAAGAGTAGAAATAATTTTAAGGAGAATATTTTTCTTTCATTGAAAAGTCTGATTCACTCCAAACTTCTAAGGGACCATGTTCTTGCCCTCAACGACCCCCCACTGGTGACCTGAGCAATAATGTTTCCATGATCTTAACTTATTTTAACTCAAACCATGAACTCACCCTGAACCAAACCAGGTTTTTTAACCTGAACGGATTTGGGTTTTTATAAAAAACAATGTGAACGTGATGGAGTAGAAAGTGCGGATGATATGTGCCTTGGAGTAAAAGTGAAAAGTAAAGCAGTAAATGTACTTTAGCTTTCTTCTTCACGTCAGATTTTTTTAGTCGTGACGAGGTAGAAATATTTCTGCTCACTCAGCTTTTAACAAGATTTTCATTAGTGCTGCTGCCTTCACCCAGTATCACCTCGACTGGTGCCAGGTACTGGCAGCGACACACTGCGGCATGCAGATGGCCGTGCCACAGGAGAGAGCAGGGACTGATCCTGGGTCGAAAGCTGCAAAACCTCGTCCACTCACACTGTTCGACACACACACAGCATTTTAAACAAACGTGCACGAGGACAGAAAAGATAAAGACTCATTTCACGTCTAGTGTCTCTGGGATCTGAGGCAGCGCTGAGATGCTACACGGCTCTTTTTTCCAAGGTCGGGACGGAGCATCAATAACTCTGAGTGTGTTGTCTGCTGACTCAGAGACAAACCGACTCTGTGTTTCAGAAACGGAGGTACAGAGGGAGAACGGAGGAGGTGGAAGATGTGAGGGTCTGGAGGAGGTCAGCTGATTCTCAGATGAATATAAAACACCATGTACTGAACAGGAGTTTTTTTTTTTCAGCACTTCTGGAACTTGAGAAAAATCGATTCCTCCGTCCCGGTTTGCACCAAAATCGAGAGCAGATGAGATGAAGACAGACGGAGGAGGAGGAAATATAGGAAGCACAGAGAAGAGAGGATGGAGAGATCGTAACAGGGAGAGAAAGAGAGAGCAGTAAAAGTAAAAGTATCCCTGATTAGTTTCTCTGCCACCGGTCTGCTGTCTGCTGCTGAGTCAGGCGTCTGCAGAAGAGACGACAAAAAAGAACGACTGACGATAAACTCGATAAGGTCTGCAGGGCGCCGGATGATAAATCAGAGTTTACATTTAAACCTGAACGTTCTACTCCATTTTCAAAACAGACTTGTTACCGTCACACATTTTTTATATTTTCTTATTCAGGTCTCCAAACATCGAGACACATTTCAACCAAAACTGACGATAACACAAAAAAGAAAAATCACTTGATGTTTGTGTCTCAGTGGAAATCACACACAACTAATGTGACACAACTGAAGAGACGAGGTGCGGAGCTTGAATCTGTACTTGTACTAGAAATACCACAACCTGGAGGGCTGAGAGTCTCCCTCACATGTTTGCAGCATAACACCCTGATGCCATTTACACGAATCACTCCTCGTCCAACGAGCTGATTCATTCCTGCCTCGGAGCTCATTAGCTAATGAGACTGCAGCACGAGGATTTACAGAGAACTCAGTGACTCCCTATGGGCGGCCTGTGTGTGTGTGTGTGTGTGTGTGTGTGTTAGTCGGATAGACGACATGTCAGCTCTCCTCAAAGTGAAGCCATAAAAACATCTCGATCGCCCCCTGGTGGCTGGCTGCAGTATAGTTCCTACACTTTGCTCCCTCCATGTTAACAGACAATAAAAAAAATCCTAAATATGTTTTTTGTTATTTCAAACTTTTTCAAAGCTCTGTGATTGGACCGTCACCGTCGACTCAGATTCAGACGAAGAACAGGATCAGAATCAAGGTTTGCTGATATGCTTCAATATGAAAAAAATAT